AGTCTGACGACTGGTAAAGGGTGATAAAGAGCAATCTCCAAACGATCCATCCACGGATAAGGAAAGATTACTGCCATGTGGTGGCCATGAAGAAACCAACAATGTCTCTAGTTTAACTGTCTGATCAAGAAGCCACAGATGATAAAACCAACCACTTTGATCATCTGGATCTGTGAAAAGAGCATGGCGCACAAACTCATACTCTTCTGCAAATACATTGTCCTTGGGACAATATCCTTTTGCTTTTTCCTTCAGCAGATGAGAAAGAAGAACACTGTATACGAGTCATTATGGGGAGATGAACCATTGGAAGAGATAAGAGATACAACGTAGTAGAATATAGGTCAGAATAAGAGTTCCTCATGAGCTAAAATGGTATGTGATACTTATTAACTTACTTTTAAACGACGAGTGCATCTTGGAGCCCATAAAATAACGCAGTTATGAAACTATGGGCTCTTAAACCAATAGAATTTTCATATCAATGTGCTTACTAGAGACATGCTATGACACATCATGTTGTATATCTGTCCATCAAATACGCCAAAAGATGAAGTCTTATCCACATTTTTGCAACACATGATAAGGGCATGAATATGTGACAATGACCTGTCTAAATATGGAGGTTTGATAACTGGGATAGAGCTACATGTTTAGCATTCCATTTGTTAAAAATAACATAACTTTTTCTTCGAGGGGTATGACTGTCTTCTTGCCTTCTTAGTATGTTAGTGACTTTAGTTTTTGTACAAGAGCAGCATGATTAACACAATCTCAACCTAGAGAAGTTTTTCTACTCAGGAAATAGGTCTAACGAGAGTGAACCAAAAAGAAATAGTAATAGATACCTGCGGTTGTGCCAAGCAGAATAGTTGCTGAAATTATCATATATCATGTCGGTAGTGTATTCTAGTTCCTTCTCATTTGGTATGTTCTTCAATGTTGTGACAAACCTGAAAGAGTTGCCAAAAAGAAGTGTTAGGCAGAATGCAACAGTCCAGTAATTTGCGTTCAACTTAATCCAGGTCATCACCTTCTATAATTCCATGCATGAAAGTTGCGGGCGTCTGCCTTCTGGAACTTACCCAGAAGCAACAATTCCCTGTCTGTGGAAGAATGCCCTTTGCTCAACACCCACTTACGGTGATGCCATGCTCCGTAAGACTTGAAATTCCTCTTTAATGCGTTCTCTACCTAATCAACATGCAAAACTTTAGCTGAATCACAGGCAACCACACAAAAAATTAATTGCTTATGATAACAAGCTTTGTTCTTAGTTAAACTACCTAAGAACAGTGTTATCAAAGGGAAACAACACAAAAAAAGATTAAGGTCCATTGGAGTTTTAAGCGGAAGAGCAAATATTGTGGGGCATTAAATGGAGGGAAAAAAATGCAAATATAAATGTGTAGTTCAAGACAACTAATTATAAGCATGAATAACAAATATATGGACAACAAAAAAGAAGAAAAGATCACGATAAAGTGAAATATCAATTGTTCGGTGTCGCATCATCAGGATTACACTCATTGGCAAGGAAAAGTATGCCTTAGCACCTGGATGACAACACTAAAGCGCCAACGTGTTTTGCACCTTAAGCGTGCCTTTGACAACACAGAGCACAACATATAAGTTAAAATATACTTGAAGTTTCATTATACATTCAATGCAGATCCATTTGGTAGAAGATTCAAAGTCAAGGTACAAATCTTCTATAGCTATTCCGCCCTATCAGAGGCCCAATCCTTCTTACTCAGTCAGATAAAAGAGCCACATTAGGTTTTGTCTATAACTTTAGCATTTTTATTCAACACACTTCAGAGCAACAACGTGTAACATCATTCATAGTAAGAGGAAATATGTCAACAACCAAACTAGAATTTGTTTGGACTTAAGCACGGAATTTTGCAGAAAAGGCAAAGGGGTGGGCAGAGAAAAAAGGAAAAGAACAAGCAACCCCTTTTCAGAATAGAAAATTGAGCATTCCTTTCTCTTCCCACAAGACCTCCCATCAAGAAAATACTAATACATGAATCCTCAAAATCCAATCCGACCCATTTGAAAAGCTATCATTTTTATCCAAAAAAAACAACTTACCAATCTGAGTTCTTCATCGAGAATTGACTTAACAGACTCCTCATTGTTCTCCACCTCAGGTAGATTCAAATTATGCTGGACAGCAAGTTTTCTATAATTCCAAGCAGTATAATACTCAGGATTTGACTCTAACAACTTTGCACTTACATCTAAAGCTTCCTTTGTATATCTGAAACAACCCCACAAACAAATTAGCAACCAACATCAAAATTTGATCTTTTTTGTAAATCAAGAACACAAAAAATTTAAAAAATTACATTTTGGCGTGATGAAATTGGAGAAATTGTGATTGTAGAGACCGTAATTTGGAAGCTTTGACACTAAAAGCTTCTTGCTCTTCTGGAGTTGGAGCTTTGCGTGGTCTTCCGTGCATTTTTCCCTTTTTCTCACACACAGAGAAGAGAGGACTCAGAAGACTGAATGAAGGAAACTTGCAGCCTGTGATCTATTAGAACTATTAATACAAATGGATCTGAAATTAGTTATTGAAGTCCGACTAAATTTGAATTCGCACCAAAAAGTTCATTATTACTTTATGGCTTATTGCTATTGGATCATCGAATTAACTGCGTTTGTAAATAAAATAAAGTTTTATAGTTAATAATAACTTAGTCCCTCTGGAATGACTCAATTGATTTGGAGGGTGGTTCTCCACACGGATCAGCCGAGATCAATTTCCCTCTTTGAGTCGAGCCTATCACATAGACTGCGGATTATGCTAGGGTTCTTTAAAAAAAATTAACTAATAGACGCAGGGATTAATTACATAATTTCCTTATTTAAGTAAACTATTGTTATCATACTTATCTGGGATAAGGGTCTGAAAAATACCCCAATTTTGATCGAATTTGCTGTTGCGATACTAAACTTTCATAAGACCTCCCTAGACTATTTAATACCGTATTTTTTTACCCCATGAACTATTTAATAGTGTATTTTAAAGGTATATATGTGCCCACATGGACACATTACTATTTATAATTTTGCATTATTTTTTATGTCCACGTGGACAAATATATATGTTTAAAATACGGTATTAAATAGTCTAGGGAGGTAATAGGTCCTCATAAAAGTTTAGTATCATAACAGCAAATCCGATCAAAATTAGGATATTTTTCAGACCTCTCTACTTATCTTTTATTATCCCTATGGATATAAAGCACGTATATACAGATAATATTATAATAGGATGATTTAGTTTAAATAAATTTCTAGCTAAAAAACACTAATAGGTTTAGGATTGAAAGTAGAGCATTTTTTGTTTTTTTTTTCCTTTTATTTTGTGGTGTTTCAAGCGTAAATATTAAATGATTTTTCATTTCCAAAGTTTTAATTTCACATGTGCAGTATATACATAATGTTTATATATAAATTATATATGGAATGTGTAATAGCATATATCGGAATAAGAAGAAACATATCAGAATTATTTTTTTGTATAAAATTAAAGTAGATACACATGTTTTACATGACATATTACATATATGATATCACGTATGATATAAAATTGTTGTGTAAGACTCCACGTAAAATGAATATATCTATTTGTTTAATTTTATATAAATTTAGGTGTCTAATTGACACGCCCAAAATTTGTGGAGCTTAGATACAATTGAGGTCAAATTAAACGAAACGGTTATTATTATGCCTCTAAGAGGTAATAGCATTGAGATTTTCTCGCAATTTGAACATGTATAAGCCGAGGATCTAGAAAATAACCTCTCTTTATATTTAGAAAACAGGAGTAAGATTACATACACACCATTAGGGTGTACATAGGTCAATTTGATTTGGTTTTTCAAAAAAAAAGAAGTAAACCAATTATATTTGTTTATTAAATCTAAAAACCAAATCAAACTACATAAAGTCGGGTTTTTCGGCTTCGGCTTTAGTCGGTTCTTTCGATTTTTTTCGATGATTGAAAAAGAGATCAAATATTATTTCACTTATGTGATAAGTTAAACTTTAAAAATGTTAAATAAATATAAATCTTTGAAAAGATGGTAAAATTCACTTGAGTATAAAATAATTTCATTGAAATATTAACGTTTATTATGTTAAATTTATATGATTAAAGGCTACAATCAATCTTGTTGTAACAATAACAACTTGCCCATGTCCGGTGAAATTTCACAAATGGAGTTTAGAAAAGATAGCAAGTACATACCTTATCCCTTACCTTGAAAAGGAAAAGAGGATGCGTCCAATAGATCCTCAAATCAATAGATAGTACGATAACCAAAATAGGCGAAACGATTGATTAAAACATAAAACCGAAGAAAATAATAGTAAATGACAGTGGCGGATGTAGCTTGCGTACTTCCGCTTTGAAGTATAAATTTATATATAAAAGTTCACTAAAATACTAAAATTGTAATAAAGAGTAGATATGAACTCACAACTTTAAAAACATAATAGGTTCAATATTAAAAACCTTAAAAGTTGAACTCATAGAGTTTAAATTCCCGATTCGCAACTTATGAGTACACAAGGTTTTTGTCCAATGAATCATGAGCTTACCTGGAATGTGGGATTCAAATGAATGGAACAGATGAACAAAATGAAGTAAAGACTGGTAACTGCTCCTATATCTATATATGTTGCTTCTTCAAATTGTAAATGACAGCATAAATACTTAAATATTGTCATAAAACAGGTTACCTCATCAAATTGCAAATCAAACGTTCAAGCAAATGAAGTAAACCAAGTAATGTCAAGACTGATTCATGCACCTGTGACTGTGCCAACTACACCACACATTTGGCATGTACTAGTAACTATAAAAGCTATAACACTATGGCGAAAGCACGCCATCAACAATCCATTCAATCTGGATGTTCCAATGAAAAGCTTAACCAACTCGCGAATTTTTTTTGAGCGGCCTATGTATTCTCTATAATCTAAACTGTTCTTGTACCCACCATCTGATATAGCTAATCCTGCAAAACAAACATGTTTAAGATATTTCTGCCTCCATGTTTGTACTTCGTCCTTGATCTGCATCTATAGCACATGAAGATTGTCGTTACAAGCAACTGGTGCCACCTCTAAAGTTACCTGCTCAACTCCAATACCGGCATTTCCCTCAGTTGTGACTCCTCCACCACACTGAGAGTTGATTCCAAGGTTTGAAGTTTCATAATCAGAACCACAGTTGTTGGATGGAAGTAGGTCACCCATAGTGCCTGCAAAAGGTGCAGGTCCAGATCCTGTACCTTGAGTCATCACAGCAGCATTTTCATGCAAAAGGTGCAGGTCCTGTACATGAAGGTTGTCGTTCCAAGCAACTGGTGCCACCGCTGAAGTTACCTGCTCAACTCCAATAACGGCATTTCCCTCAGTCGTAACTCCTCCACAACACTGAGAGTTGATTCCAAGATTTGAAGTTCCATAATCAGAACTCAAATTGTTGGATGGAACTAGATCACCCATAGTGCCTGCAAAAGGTGCAGGTCCAGATCCTGTACCTTGAGTCGTCACAGCAGCATTTTCATGCATCTCTGGTTTAGCTTGATTTACCATCTGAACTTCCGAGTCACCAGTGTTCTTTGTGCGTACACGATAACTGGCATCTGAAACATTCCTCGTCTGCTTTTTCTTGAATCTGTGTTTCTTTGGTTTCAGAGCTGCTGCACTCTCTTGGTTGCTGATTGCCAAATCTGTGACCTTCTTCATTGGAACGACAGTGTATGAAGAATAGTTAGGCGCAAAACCGCTAGACTGAACGGCCAACAATGCAGTTCGAGCAGCTTTGATCTCTGCTTCCTTCTTTGTTCTAGCTGCTGCTCCAATATATTTCATTCCCCCTACGTCAACAGTACATGAAAATGATATAATTTTGCTTTCTGAGTCATACCTCTCGCATTCATATTGTGGGATTGCAAAATTCATCTTCTGAGCATACTCTTGCAACAAATTTTTGCACAAGCCTGTTTCATGCTGAAAAATACACCAAACAACGCAAAATAGAAGGGTTTATTACTTCCACAACATGAAAAATTGAAAATTGACAGTACAACAACCAAGCGAAAGTACTAAACTAATTAAAAAAAAAAAAAAAAATTAAAGTCTCTTCATAGACAAACGTTTACTCTATTATACAAACTTGTAGAGGTCATCAAATGCGAACCCAGGATTTGAAGACTACACATGCACCAATTATTATCTTAATTTAGGCGTTAGCGAAACTTTCAATGTGATTAAGGGATAATGTCGTATTTAATTGGTCACTAATGGCTTGAACAATAGTAGAAATATTAAATACAAATATATAGATCAAACATGAGCTCTAAGCTAATACTTGAACTTTACTTTGTTATTTTATAAGTTTAAGCCTTTAACTTTCTTAAAACAGTTGAGTATAATAGCTCAGTGGTCAAGTTGGGTTCGTTTTAACGGTTGGGTACTTTGGCTTAAACCAGCGGCCCGAGGTGTGCTTCTATGTTTTCCATGGGTGCACTTAATTTATATCCCAGTTTCTCAAGATATATATACATATATACACATGATTTTTTCCGAAGTTAACGGGTGCACGTGCACCCCCACCTGTACATGTGGGTCCGCTGGAGGCCATAGAGCTGGATCCACGTGATACTGCATACGTAGCGAAGGAAGCAATCTAACACACTTCAAACTAACATATAAACCCCTAAAGGTAGTTAGAGTAGTTATGCTAAAGCATATCTTCATTGCATTGTGGACTTAATTAACACAACCAGGGAAGTCACACATGAGCTATTTCTAATGGCTGCCCAAACCGTAACAATAACAGTCTAGTTTCAAATCCAGGAACATGAATGCAAATTAAAAGCATTTCCTATATTTATGCTCTGTGCGATATTCCTCACCAGCTTCTGCTGCAGGAATTTAGAGGACTTCAAAGACTCAACTATCATATCTTGCTGGGAGAGGAGGAAAGGAGCTCGGATGACTAAAATGACGAATAATGCATTCCACCACAAAATGGAAGTTATACATTCACCAAAACACTAAGATCATTAAGAACTGGCCTAGGTAAGTTATTGGCATGAAGATGCTGGCCATCATAGTGAAGCCTTCCGCCACCACAGATTGAAATTCAAATGGGACAAGTTACCCAAGATGCAAATTATTGAGGAAACAGTAGCATAAGAGATTACAATGGCCAAATTTTTCTTGAAAAGTAACATATGTATTTGCACAAGCTAGATTTGACACTATGGCTTCTGGTTAGAATACAGGAACAGTTACGATCATAGTGCATAAGAGCGCAGAAGCACAATTGTTTTGTCTTAAGTGATGAAGGATAAAGCAAATTACCACTGGCTGAGAAAGGTTTTCCATTGACCCAGAGTTTCCAAGACTCATGAGTGCAACTTCAGCAGCTGATTGCTCCGCCGCCTTGCGATTGTAAAATCCAGGTAGAGAATCATATCTAACATTGTCCATAATCACTGTAGACGTAAATGTAGGCTCATGAGAAGGGCCTTCCTTGATAGTCTCATAAACAGGGGTAGGAAGTCCAACTTTCTGTGCATACTCTTGCAATCGGCTTTTGAAAACATAACAACTTGTCACACCTGTAATATGTTTAATAGTAAGTGACCATCGCCGTTAATAAAACAAGCAATAAGCAATAAAGACAGCTTTAAAGCAGAAAGGTGACAAGTAAAGATAAGAGAACTAGATTTTCAACAATTTTAAAATAATAATAATAATAATACAGAAGGCATGCACATATATATATATATATATATGTCTATAAGTCTGAGATTTCAGCAATTGGGACCATCAAATCCCGTGGATCAGACTATGTAAATATTTTGGATTGGAAACTGTCCTTATTTACTTTTCCTCTCTTTTAAAACCCTAACATCCCTGTCTAAAAACAAATAATTGCACCTATCCAAAATTATACGAAGTAGAGAAGTAATAAAAAAGAACTATGCTAAACAACCTTTGTTGAGTCTTTAGCACAAAATTACTAACTTTAATGGGGTGCATATGTATGAATACTCCAATCTTTTACATCACGCAGGGGTTGTTTGGTAGGACATATTAGAGAAAATAGTACATGTATTAGCCTTGATAATATTTAATACCTTGTTTGGTAGTGTTTTCAACATAGGTATACATTATTATAGGGTGTATAACTAATATATAGAAACCCATGGTATTAGCAATACCAGGGCTTAATACATGGTTAAAGACAGAACCACCCTTCAATACACAAAACCAAACAGTAGATAAGAAATAATTCCAGCATAACTAATCCCAACATTACTGATACATCCTATTCAAGTACTATTCTAATACACCCTACCAAACGACCCTTCAGTTTCAGCAATTTAGACAAGGATATATGTCTCAAATCTCTTGAACACACCTCCTAAATAAAGGGCAAAGGAACATCCCTTCTCATCAGATATCTTATTCAAACAAATTAATTAATCAAAGACTGCATAAGTACTTTGCCTATCTACCCCACAAAGGTAGGGGTGAGGTCCCCGTACATCCTACCCTTATATAAGCACTTCCCACTGCAACAAGAGAAAGCTCTAGCTAGCCCCAACAAAGGTAGAATGCAAACTTAAACGATCATGACCATTGTTATACTAGATGTAAGAATTAAGTCTGGTATGATGCTGAAAATGAGGGTTCTTTGCCATGGACTGGACAAAGAAATGGCTTTTTCTATGTACATACTATGAAGTTTTTGGTAGTGGCAGGAAGTTTTCCTCCGTGGCCTCTAAAGATAATTTGGGGAGCCAATATACCTTATAAGATAGTACATTTCAGTTGGATATTGCTCATAATGGATGTTGAAACAAAAAAATTACAGAAAAGACGTTTGTAGTTATGTAGCAGATGTCTCCTTTGTGGGAAGGGAATTGAGGATAGCAGGTACTTATTCCTTCATTTTTGAGGTCGCTGGTCACCTTTGACATCTCTTTTTCAAAATATCCTTGCGATCAAATGGGTCATATTCCAGCAACCATTAAGGCACTCATCAACAGCTGGATGTATTTCAAAGGAAATTCGAAGATGAAAATGATATGGAGGACTATTCCTAGTTGTATGTTTTGGACTATATGGCGGAAAAGAAACTTGAGGTGCTTTGAGGGCAAACAAATTCCTATACAGATGCTGAAATTTATATGTTCATGTAAATTAGCCACACAGTACAATCTGTTGAGCTTAACAGAAAGAGGCGAACAAAATGCCTATTACCAGGGGAAAATGCAACTCAAATATCCAATACTGTAGAGCTACATACCTAGATTTCCCAAATAGACTAAAAGCTATACATACCTTTTTTGTTTTTCTGAATCAAGTATTAAATCTTTATAAACTACAAACACAGTTCAAAACTACTACATTTATCACAGATAAACAAGCAAACCAAACACCAAATCACCATATACCTCAACTACCCATTAAACCCAAATGTATTAGCCAAAATTAACTTCTTTTAGAACTTAACAAACTTAGGATTTTTCTTTCCCCTCTAACAAAGATTTCATCTTTTTTCCTCCTTGCTCTTTCTTAACAAAATTTTCATCAGAAACCAAAATTCACCAAGCACATAAAAACTCAAAAAAAATAAAAAATGCAAACAAGAATCTGAGGCTTTTTCTTCTTGATTTGCATATCAAACACTGAATTCAATTGATCCTAGAAAAGTAAGAAAAAATTACAAGAAAATTCAAGACATAAAAAGGAGAAAAAAAACATACTTCTGATGCTCTCGTTGTTCGCCATTTTGGTATTGTTGCTATTACCAAAGACCAAAGAAGAGAATGAGTAGAAACCCAATGTTTTTGTTTTTATAGGAAAAAATTGAACATGGTATTTATTCTCTTAAAAAATTCCATAAATACCCATCAAACTTTTGACCCACCTGGAAGGAACAGGGGGACAGAAATGTTATTCTCATCATCTTAAAGGGTAAAAGTGGAAATTGAATGAGCAAATATAAATGCCATTGGATTCTAGGAATTTGAAACATTTTCTCCTATCTTTCCACTTCAACCTTCAAATTTCCAGCAACATACAAGCACACCCTCCAACCCTAAAACCCCCAAATATACATACACCCACTTGCCTTATTTGGTTAAAAATTGTTTTTTTTTTCATCTGGGTATTCATATAATGTGCATATTCACACACCCACTTGCCTTATTTGGTTAAAAATTAATTTTTTTTTCATCTGGGTTTCATATAGATGTGCATATTCACACACCCACTTGCCTTATTTGGTTAAAAATTGATTTTTTTTCATCTGGGCATTTATATAGATGTGCATATTCACACATTCACAATCCCTATTTGGCTAAAAGTTCGATTTTTTTTCTTTTGGAATTTTTTGCATTTTTGGTTAAAGAATAGTCATAGTGAATCTTTTTATCTGTGTATACATATAGAATGATTATATTTACACACCCACTAGCCCTATTTGGCTAAAAGTTGGAGCTTTTGGGATTATCTTTTCGTAGTTTTGGTTAAAGGAATAGTTCAGGTTGATTTATTTTTTTTATCTGTGTATACTTATACATGTTCATATTCACACATCCACTAGCCCTGTTTGGCTTAAAATTGGATCTTTTTTTGGAATTTTTTGTGTTATTGGTCATGGTATAGTTCATATTGAATCTTTTTATCTGTGTATACATATAGATGTGCATATTGCCATATTCACACACCCACTAGTCCTATTTGGCTAAAAGTTTAAGTTTTTGGGAATTTTTGTTAAGTGATAGTTTGGATTGGATTCTTGATAAGAACTCAGATATAAAGAATGGAGGAATCATAAAAGAGAAAGGAGAGGCTGAAAGCAATCCGAAAGGAAGCTGCAGAGGCTGGAGATAACAATGAAGAACAAAATTCTATTGGAGGACCCCTTGATCATGGCCTTACCAATCCATTGATTGAAACTCCTTCAGCTTCCTCTGGGAAGGATAAGCCAAGGCCTAGATTTGACTACTACACTGACCCCATGGCAGCTTTCTCTGCCAACAACAAAATGAACAATCTCAGCCCTCAGGTTTCACAACCGTGTAACACGCCTCCAAGTAATTACATGTTCTCTTGAAGTTTATGTTTCTTTTTTCCCTTTATATGGCTGCACTTCTGCAAAGGTTATTCATAGATGTTTGGTGTTATATGTATTACTTTGTGGATTCCTGTGTTTCTTTTGTAAGTCCAAGGTGCTTTAGGGGTAATTTATCTTGCTGAACTTAAAATAGATTTTAGGTTAATGTAGAGCCATTGAGAGAATGCATTGGAATGAAACAGGGTGGATGCAGCAGAATAAGGATTCATATGCCGGCCCCAACTAGTTTGGAGTTGATGTGTAGTTGTTTTTGTTGTTATTCTAAAGCCATGGAGAGAATCCACATCTTTGAGTTAAGTTTTTACCAGTTTGTTACTGTAAAGTGTAATGCCTTTTCATGATCCCAAAGACTCAATTAGGTTCAATTTTTGGCAAGGTCGAGTCTTTATATGATGTGGGGAGTGAGGCTGAGATGGTTTAGGCATGTGGGAAGGAGAGGTGCAGATGCCCCAGTTAGGAGGTGTGAGATATTGTTCGTTGTGGGCTTGAGAAGGGGTAGAGAAGAAGTATTGGGGTGCGGTGATTAGGTAGGATATGACTAGGCAAGGGTAAGGTCTACGTACACTCTACCCTTCTTAGACCCCACCTGTGGGATCACATTGGGTTTGTTGTTGTTGAGTCTCATCTGAAATTTGGTTCTTTGTTCAGTTGAAATAATGAGAGTGATAGGGATCCTTTCACGCATTATGTTAGGTATCAAGGAAAATTAATTCTGGCTTCAAAAGGGAGATGTGTCAAATGGCCGGGTATCATTTTTGGAAGAAAAAGACTATGATTTGCCAAAAAATAAACAAATGTGTTAACTATGAAAACCGATCTTTTCTTTTGCATAGTACCCATGTGGTAATAAGACGATTAAATTATCTATAAGCTGCTACAGTATGTTAGGCAAGTAGTGGAGTGTCTTGATAAAAAAAACCTGTCTCTGATGATGGCTGAGATGCCAATTTAGATTCTATGCTGCAAAGTAATTGTAGGCAAACCTGAGTGTACGGACTGTATGGCTTATTAATTTATCTATTTGCCTCACTACTTATTGTTCCATCTGTTATTCCCTCTACATCAAAGAAAACCAAGGTTGACCTCCAAGGATAAAAGAAGAAAGTTTGTATGAATTGTTACACTGGAGTTCCTGGAGATATGTTAAACTAATAGTTTAAAAATATGATGGGTATGAAGATGCTATATCAAATTCAAAATAATATAAAGCGACAGTCTTATATGTCAATATAGTTTTCTGGAGCTTCTGGCCTTGAACTATTTAATTCCTTTACTTGTCACCAAAAAAGTTTTTTCCCATTTAAGGAAAAAGGTTAGTCTTCAGAGATGAGTTACATAGTAAGTAGGTCAAATATTGAGATGGATATATCATGTTTCTTTCTATATAGAATTTCAGTTATGTTTATCTCACAATTGCAAGGGATAGAATGTTGCTGGTAAAGTTGGATGAGTACTATCTTAACTCACTGAAATATTTTTGCTAGTTAAAGAGAATTTTAAGACTTAAGAAAAGTGAAATCATTAAAAAAAAAAGGTTATTGGAATCACTTTCTTCTTTAGTTGTGTTGGATTTAGATACAAAAGTTGCTACTAATTCATAAAGCTGGAATGTAGTCATTTTTAAAAAATAAATGTACTTGCAAACACCATCTGGGTATTGTTCCCTAACATCCAGAAGCTTACCAATTTAAATTTGTATTGTATTTCATGATTTGTCAGGGATATATTGGTACACTCTAGATTGCACAAATAAGGTACAAGATCCTACTCCCGAAGAAAGGAAGTCCAAGAACAGTCTTAAAAACCTTCTTTTACTTCGTCTCTTCTTAATAAAGGACCCTCTTTTACTTTTTCAAGCTATGAATAGAGATTGCCATGAAGATTAAAAGGGATTAGGTGGTATGATGTAGCTTGAACCTAGACTGAAAGCATAAGGGCAAGAATACTTGGATGGACATAGTTCAGGATTGGTGTAATTGACGCCTATGAGTAGAGGACGAGAAGGTGTGAGACCTCTACTTCAACAACTCCACCCCAACCCGACTTCATTTATGATTTGAAAAGAATGAGAAAAAAGTTGCTTCACTAAGCAACTTAATCATTTACAAAAAAAACAAAAGGAAATGGTTAACTAGTTCACTTAACAACAGATTCTTGTCAACATTGGGAAAGGGTATCAATATATATAGTTGTTTTGTGATTATTGATCAGGATAGTATGTGGCAAAACAAAAGCTGATTGCTACTGATGCTACCAAAGGTCTTGACCATGTTCTCATAGCTTTGCTCTCATTTATGTACGATGTATGGCTCTGTTTTAAAGTATTTTAAAGAAAAGGAAATTAATAAGATGAGATCATGTCAGCGATGCTGCTCATTTTAAGTTTGTCCTATCAGTTAAATTTTGAGCCCTTGCCAGGATAGATGAATAGTGGAGAAGCTTATGCAAAAACAAATGTATTCTCTTTTCTAGATTTTGGAGTGGGTTCCTTTAGCTCCTCTCCTGGAGAGAGGCCGGTTTGTCCGAAATGATTCCTGATACCTATTGGAGAGTAAATTATTCTGCCATCTGCATAAGTTTTGCAAATGACGAGCATCTAATTAGCATGAAAAATGAGGAATATGTATCTTGAATCTGATGATTTTGAGGCAACCTCTTAGACAGAAGGTTATATAGTAGGTGTAGGTCTGGTTTGGAATTTTTTTTGATGTAATACCTTTGGTTAATCATGATGTGTTTTAATCACTATGCTATTTTCTTTGTGTTTATGTAGTATCTGTTAGAACATGAATAGGTTTATACAATCCTATTTAGAATAGGAATAAGAATAGTAATAGTATCCTACTTGGTAAAGGATTGTATTCTAGTGTCTATAAATAGGATCTCAATGTAATAATGTAGACACAACAACAATTCAATAATATTCTTTTCATATATTTCTCACATATCAATCTAGACCCTTGTCTAATCTTTTTTTTTTTTCAGGACCTATGAATGCTGGTTCTCCAGCTTATCATGCTCAAGGCAACTATAACTCAGGTCAAAGAACATATCGGCCACGAGGAGTCAATGCCATTCCTCTTGGAATCCGTAGGAAAACTAATCCCTTTTGCACACCACCGGGGAACTCCACTTTGGATAGCTCTCTTGGCACACCTAACAACTACTCTTTGCCTAATTCACCGCAAATTGGTGGCGTTTCCAGCCATGGTTCTCCTCAAGTTAGTGGAGCTTTTCTCAAAAAAAGTTAGTGGAGCTGGTAGTCAATATGGGCAAGGTAGCCCCTACCAAGGTTCAGGATTCAGAAGCAAGGCTTACCAAGGTTCAAGAGGAGGCAAGGGTAGATTCAAATTTTACTATCATAAGTCAATGGTGGAAGACCCATGGAAAGCATTGATGCCGGTTATTTGGAAGCCACGTGGCGATACACAGGACTGTCTGAAATCCTGGCTTCCCAACTCCATCAGTGCAAAAAGGGCTAAACTTGGAGAGACTCCAACAAAATCCACTCCCCAGAAAAGCCTCGCTGAATATCTGGCTGCCACATTCAATGAAGCAGCTGGCGAAGACACTGTGAATAATGAATCTAACACATAAAGCTTTTGATGCTTGAACTTTTTAGTTATTTTTATGTCTTGATACTCCTGTAGTTTCTGCAAATAGTAAGTTGAGCTATAGTCCAAACCAAATCTGTATAGTTTCCTGCTCATTTTAAGCTATCATCGACGCCTAATAAGTTCTAATCCATGTCAAAATTGACTAGCTCTTGATATCCTTGGAGTGAAACAGATTTTATGCACTCAGGTTTGATTTCTTTTTGGAACTGTGAACTCAGAGTACAGATATTGGTTCCTGTTTCATTTACCAAAGAAATTACATTGATATTGGAAGAAGATTATGTTTGTCTTTGGTACGGCGGAAGTTACTTTTTATGGAGAATATTTTTCGAAAAATGGTGTTTGGTAAGTGAGTGAAATAATTTTTGAAAAAGTATATATATTAACGAGTAGTAACAATTCTAGCAAATCTGATAGTGTTCTGAAATTTTTTTAGTACTAGAGATTAATAATAATGTCTAATATTAGTTTGAGCAAGTAATAAAGTTCCAAGTTATAGATAGTTGTAAGGGAAAGGGCTAGCGAGAAAGCATTTTCAGTAACCAAACATCCAGAAAATGATCTATTTTTTTAATAGAAACATATCCTTCATGGTTTGGATCCAAAAAAATTATCCTAATATTTCTCCCCTAGTTCTTTTTCTTTTTTCTTCTTATAAAGTGATTACATTTCTCCCCTAATTACTTGTATCCACAAACATTTGGTTCATGAAAAAGGTTTCCATCTTTCTGGAAATGTTATCCTTCAACAACATCAAAGCCTGTTCAGATAACAGGTTTACTTCAAGATTGAGTTTCATGCACAAAACAGATTCACCTCTCTTTTATCTCTAGCGATAACAGCTATGGATATGATTCACAAGAATAAGTTTCAGAGCATAAGTTGTCAAAGATTGGTTAGTGGCATCGAATCAACTGTGCAAATTTTATCCCCTAGCTAATTTCAGAAAGTAGATGTTTGTTTAATGCCAGAATTTACTGTAGATTGCATGTAGGTCAACTTTCTGCTCCCTGCATATCTCATCCATGAATGTATCCATGAGTTGCCCTGCCAAACTTGAATGGTCATCGACAAAGGTGTCTATAAAGACTCGAACAACCTTTCTTTCTTGTGTTGTGGCTTTCAAGCTGAACCAAGTCAAGAACTTCACTCTGAAATCTGTTTCTATGAGCCCTTCATGTTCCAACTCCTTGATGATCCCTACAGAGTACTCATAATCACTTACCTTCACTTGTCCTATGCCACTCAATTGCACTTCCTTTGATGCATTTGTTTGGCAAGGTGTGGCAGGTGCACTTGAAAGTAGACTAGGTAAAGGAATGTGCATCTTGGGAAGAGGGGATATAGGAAATGCATTAGCTTGGCTTTCAATGTCATTCAGGGAGCATGGTTTTGGATCATAAGTTGTTAGTTTGTGGTCAGTAGAACTCATTGACTCAGCATGCATCAGTGTACTATCTATAGTAGCATTATCTGAACCTGACTTGTAGCTTGTCTGTACAGCAGGTGTAACCCAATTCACCTCCTGAACCCCCAAAGTCGCTGCCTTGTTGAAGAAAGAAACCTTGCAGAAGTACTGTGTCAAAGGATCAAGACCATCCAGCTTAAATCTCTTCACAGGGCTTAGTGCAATAAAAGTTGCCTCGTCGGGATATTTGTTTGTTGTGGACTTCCGATACCACAATTTGAAGCCCATAAGTTCTTTCAGCATACAATCATCATATTCAAAGACAATCGTTACTTTAGATGGAGATTGCTCCTCAAAATGTATCCGGCAAGCTGTCAAGAGTGTTCAATAAAAGCAAAAGGTGAAATCAGTAGTGCACAGATATAGTCCTATGCAGAATAAGTAATGTACGCAGAACAGAAAGATGAAGAAGACAACGACAACATATCAGTTAGGCCTGCATGCTTCCAGATTCTCATGAAAATAGAAATATATCTTTAATTGTGTGGCTGGAACTTCTTGCAAAAGCTTCGGTATTATTTCATAGAACTCTACAAATATCCCACAATATGAAAGTCAAAGTTTAAACTTGAACAAAGAAGACACTATTGCAATGATAAATGTGAGACTTCCTTGTCGAACATTACACTATCGTAACTTGTTTACTTCCAGGTCTGTGTTTTTCCAGAAGTAAACAGTAGTAGAGCTATTGACATGCAGATATTCAATAATAAATTGACTAAGAATACTCACACATCAGAGTCTCTTCCTTTTTCGTATGACTAGAGAATTGATTCTGAAACATGGAATCAAAAGTGCCCACTGCAGAGCCACACAGATTCTGAACTGCAGTACCGCAAGAAAGCCTGTTCACTATCCTGCGATCCATTTTCTCTGATGCCTGTGCAAGAGGCCCTACTTCGTTCTTCAGCATCTCAGCAGCTAATTCAACAACCTTCAGCAGTCCTTTGTATTTCTCAGTTTTCTCTAGGATTTTATGGCTCAGAGAGATTCTTAAACACAGCACATCAACTCTTCTCGCCTCCTTTGCTGTCATCAATTGTTTTCTCAAGGTTCTAAAACAACTCATATCAGGTTAGTTTTTCTTGTGTGTGAGATAAACCATCGAATTAAAAAAAAAATTGCCATTAAATTTGTTTGGATTACTAAAAAGATACGCATTGAAAGCAAAATAAATAAATTAAAATTGACATTTTCCTCTGCTGATGTGAACACACAGAAATGTTCCCTATCGGACTTTTTTTTGGGCAAAAATATAGCCATTAGCAGAAACTACAGACCATTCCACAGTTTTTTTAAATATCTTCTGTGTTAACGAGGATGTTATATAAGGTCCATTACTTCCTAATACAGACAGGCACACATTTCCAAAAGGAAAAGAGCATGCAGAAGAGGGATCAGTGGTAGCAAGAAAATCACCGTTGGAGCAAAACATGGTAAAGAAAAATGAACTACCATGTACAATCCACATTCCGGGATCTACCTTTCTGCTAAACACACATATGTTACGGGTTAAAGAGAAGGTAAATACCTCATTAGCCCATTAATTTTTCCACAAGAAACGCAATAGAAATCTCCATCCAAATTTGGATTGATGCAATTCTTCAATATGCCTGATTGTTCGTGCTCAAGTGCACATTTTAGATGGCATGACAATCCACATGGCTTAATTTCATCTTGAGAATCAGAATCACAGGTTAACCACAAGCTAGGATCTTTATTATCATCGTACTGATGACAAATGCAGCAAGAACATCGTTTGCAGAAAACATCATCTCTTTCAAGAGTAGCTCTACATACCAGATTATGACAGAGTAGGACCTGGGTTTTGCTTTCCATCTCCCGATTAACTTCATCAATCTGAACGAAAGGTTGACATTGATATTCTTGCGTCCGCTGCCTTTTGAAGGTAGGACCAGTATCTGTGTTAGACTTACAGGAAACCAGCTTTAAAAGGTGATCTATCATTTTGAATTTTGTGTAGCCAGAGTATTTTCTCTCTTCGCCCATCTCAGCACATATAATCTCTAGAAGTTCTTTTCTGGTCAACGAACTCAAGATCTTCGGCGCATCTTCAGGGCATTGAGAAATTTCATGTACTAACTGTCTTTTATCTTCCATACTCAATTGGCTAAATTTACAGGGATCGAGAACGAGACCTGAAAAGGGACCTCGGTATCAATTAAATCAAATTTGAGCATCACAATTCAACTTCAAATACCTGTACCGACCCTCTTGATTTGTTACTAGAACTATCATGTGTTTTTAGCACACTGAGATATCCCAAGTATAGTGAAACAGAACAGTGAAAGCACAACTATACAGATCTAGAATATAAAGGGGTGACTACTATAAAGAATGTGGTAGTCAAAGCCACACGAGATTTCAGGTCAAATTAACAGATGTCACGGTGAAAATTGATCCTGCACAACGTTAATCACAAGAACTTATGAAGATGTGTATTTATGAGTTAGCTAGGATGTATCTGTACAAGTGTATATATCAATCAACTACACCTCAACGCCAAACTATTGATTGAAGTGAGATAGGTCAAACTCGTCAATTCAAAATCACTCGGAAGCTGTGATACCTATGTGCTAGCAAACTGCACCACTACCCCTTTCTCCACATGTTTACATAATACAAGTATGATATTAACAATTTAAAGGAAGAAACTACAAAACTCCCCGGTTCCATAATGCCAAGCCGGAAGTTGTTATTGAAAAAAAGGAAAGCTCTGAAGACAAAAGTTAGCTATGTGATATCCTATGTCCACAAGTCCAATAGCTAATGCACCCTAGCTAACACCATTCAAGAGAAATTTTCCCTATTTAATAATCTTTATCGCTCATAGGTGATCAGGATAATTGGATTCTCTCTAGTTCTCTACCAAATACCCTCCTTTCACCAAGGATGAAACGTTGTTAATGTGATCAATCAACACCTCATTAGATTCATTCTTTCTTTTTCTAATTTGGTTTCTTGTATAACGTGCTAAATGAACCAAAAAAACCATTAGCTTATCAACATAATATTGCATCCTTCTATATGTGGTTGCTGCCAATTCTCCACCATAACGGAAGTGCCACATCCTTATATCACTTGCATACTCTATAGTCTATAGTCAGCCTAAGTATGCTCAAGCTTCTCTTGCATCAGAAATAAGAAAAATGACTGCACTTTAAGCATAAAACACAGATAGAAGGTCTGTGTACGCTTTACCCTCCCCAAACCTCACTTGTGTAACTACACCGGATATGTTGATGTTGTTGTTACTTAAAACACAGATAGGATCTTTCCTAGCTGCTTATAAAACATGTAGTGGAGAAATTTATCTATGAAGAAACAAGTAGAGAAATCAAGCTGATCAAAATGTACTCTAAACTCAACTTACATTGTCAAATACAAAACTTTAAGGACCTAAATCATATAATAAAAAAAACTAACAAGAGTATATCAAGTCCAAATTTTAAAAAAACACATCCAGAGGAAAGAGACAAAACCCACCACCAATAAAACATTAGACATGCCCATCACCCATCATCAGCTCTACACAGTAAAATACAACAACCCCATAAAAAATTAAAAAAAATAAACCCTTAATACCTGATAATGCAGACTCCATAGCAGAAGAAAAAACTCCACTGCCCTATTCCTTTCTCATTCTTACAAATCAAACAAAATAACCAAACCCCACTTAGTAAAAACTCACAAACTGACCCAAAATACAACAATGCAGGTAAAAAGACTCCACCTTTATGAGATCAAGAAAATCTCAAAACAAGAACAACATTGTTTACTACTTTTTTCTCTGTGTGTGCGTGAAAGAGGCAAGTTGTGGGTGGGGTGTTGTAGAGGGTAGGGGGTAAAGAGTGAAGGGTAAGCATTAAAAAGTTGGATAGGAAAAAGAGGAATAAGTAAAAATAATACTAATTATTATTATAGTATAAGTTGTAGCCATGGATGTCAGATTATGAAGGTGATTTTCAGAATGTGAAGGCGAATGAGAGATTAATAAGGGACCCGCCTGCTATTTATTTTTTACCCTATAAACAAACAAAAAGGAAACGGCCTCTGCATGGTTTAGTTTACCACGCGCTTCTCACTTCTCTCATTTGTCGTGATTGAACGTCTGAACACGTGATAAATTGATCTTATTAGATACGAGTACTTTTTTCGTCATAGTTTTTTTTTTATATGTTTTGACTTGATATAGAGTTTAAAAAAGTAATGAACGTTTTTGAATTTTGATGATTTTAGATAAAAGATATGTAAAATGTATCAAAATATTATTTAATATTATCATATTAAACATGTCATTTGGAATGTTAGAAGCAAAAAGTTTTTAAACGGATAAAAAGAAAAGTAGAATACTAACGGAGTACTTTCGATTTAACTTCAGAAAAGAAAAAGATAAAGTGTATTTTCAAGTGCTCGTGATAAAATTACACTTAAAATATGTCACATTTTTTATTTATAAGCATTAACCTAATAACCTCAATATGTTGTAATATATGAAGTTGTTTCAATTGATATTGATGTGTATAGTTAAATGAGATGTGTTATATGGTTAAGTACTTAATAGATGCTTAAGAGCATGTGCAAAAAGAATAAATCAAAAATTGAACTAAGAGTATATAATATGGACACTTTATCATGTGGTTAAATGCTCATTTAAAATAAATTATAATTTGTGTGTTTAAATAAATTTAATGACGAGTTTATGGGTTTGTCCATATTTTAATTTTTTTTATAGCCGTACATCGAAATAATTAAAGGTAGTCAGAGGTACAACAACAAATCAAATATAATCTCACATTTGAAATCTGCAAAAAATATAGGGAAAAGGGTCTGAAAGATACTCCAACTTTGGTCGAAATTGTTGTTACGATACCAAACTTTGGAAAGGACCTTTTACCCCTTGTACTATTTAATAGTGTATTTTAAAGGTATATATGTGTCTACGTGGACATCATAAATATTGCATCATTTTAAATAGTAATGTGTCCACGTGGGCACATATATACCTTTAAAATACACTATTAAATAGTGCAGGGGGTAAAAGGTCCTCTATAAAGTTTGGTATCGTAACAGCAATTTCGATCAAAGTTGAAGTATTTTTCAAACCCTTTTGCCAAAAATATTATAATGTACACAAACTTTTTTCCTATCTTAAAAAGGTAGAGAGGTTAATTCTAGTAGATCTTCGACTCAGAAAACAATAAAATAAGAAATAATAGCAACAAGCAAAAACAACAACAATTGTAATTATTTTGGAAAAATTCATATATACACTTATATATATATATATATATATATATATATACTAGTTTCACGGCATGTGTGTATCGTATCATTTAGTATATAGTGTTCTAAAACGGAATTGATATTACTATATTAAAGTTTTTTAATAAATAATTATAATTGAGAAAACATAGAAAAATGCTTTTAAATGATTAAAATTATTGTCATAGAGTTACTTGTTTTTTTATATCAAAATGACATATATCATTGAAACATTTCAAAATACATTCAAATTTTAAATATGGAGAGAAAGTGATATTTCTTTAATAGTATTGTTTTTAAATCACAACCCTCGAAAAAGTCACAACTCTTTAATGTGAAAAGGTATGTACTTTTAATATAATACAATTAATTAAATCAATAAATAAAATAAATTAAATATTTTTAATTGGAGGTATTATAGTAATTTAACGTTCAAGTTTGGGAGTTCATATATATATATATATATATATATATATATAACAACTTTTATATAGATTTTAGTTATATTTTTTATACAAAATATAAATAAAATATTTATGTATATACAATAAATTTTGTAACTCATAGTTTTCCATTTAACATCATTTAAAAGACCCTAATTACTATTTTGAGCACAGTATAGGTCCCAATGTGCAAGCCTCAAAGAGGAAAATGAAAAGAAAGGGTTACCCTCCAAGTTTACAGAAGAGTTGTGTACAACATAAAATTCTTGTTACCGAATTTAGTGAGAATATGAAGAAATATGTTTGAATATACCATGGAAATCGAATATCACATTTGATTTCCATGCAAGACATCCTATATTTTCTGGACAAAGTCATCCATTCAATTCAATATTTTTACAAAATTGTTAAGTAAAAATAAATTTAATTGCAAAAAAAAATTCAAACTATATTCACTTGTAAAAGTGATCCAGTCAATCCAGACTAAATTTTACAAGCAAAAATTAAGAAGAGTATTTTAGAAAATTGAATTTGAGCATCACAATTCAACTTCAAATACTTGCATATACCCTCTTGATTTGTTACACTATCATGTGATGGTACTATTATTATATATTTTAAAGTATCAATTCAAGTTCATAAGATATTATTTATGTGTCACCAACACATTACTTTGGATTTTGTTGAAAAAAAACTCCATTTATGACTATGGAAATTCTAGTTATTTAATTTAATATTCTAAATATTTCTATTGCTAATTAAACAATTAACAATAGGCAGCAGTCTTTCATCTTTATTTTCTTTTTCCAAAAAAATATTATACTTATTTTTTAATTCTATAATCATCAATATTTTCTAATTACGGTTTAAATTAAAATTGTGTATGTTCAGACACATGTCATGTATTCATTAGTTTGGTGTAAATATACTATGAAGATAAGCTAACTGTGATAATACTGACATTTTTTGGAGTACCAAATGCATATTTCATTTGGATCCTAAGTAGTGGTGGAATTATAATTTTTGCTCAAGGGTTCAAAATATGAAGAAGTAAACATACATCTACCATAATTTTATGTACGTTTCTCTAATATAAATGGAATTATGGTATCATAATCCCCTAATACGTTTAAGTTCTATATTATTAAAAAAATTTATTACAGTTTGTATCATATTCGTGAAAACATAGATAATACGCAGAAAAATCTAGTAAGTTTCTTCATATCATCAATCACCTCCAACGCTTCATACAATTTATGTGACATAGTTAGACTGATTTAAGAAACTTTATAAAAGGATTTAAAATCAAATTATTTCCAAATACAAAAACGGGACTAATATGGAAAGATCGTCAGATTTTTATATTTACAAAAACAAATTTAACTTTAGCTTTTTCCATTTTAAAGTTTAATGAGATCACTTATAGACTATAGTCGCACAAAATTTCTTTTAGACTAATGCTTCAAAATCTTTCGTGCTATATTTTGGGGTGCCTATTACATAAAATGTGACAGAGGGGGTAGTACCTGTTTACAGTATACTAAAAAGTCACTCCATTTCAACTTGTTTATCACGGCATGTTTAAGAACACGAGTATTTTGATACATTCCATATATCTATAGTTTAAGTATCAATGAGAGATGTATGTTTCATACAAATTGCAGGGAGAAATGACGCAGTTAATCAACACAGATGCTAAAAGGAGAAAATTTGTGGTTCGTTCACATATATGAATGACGGTAAAAGGAGAAAATTTGAATCAAATAAAGGCCTTCCCATTTTGCATTGCAACTCTACAAAATTTACTTTGCTTCTCTAAGATGTTACAACCAAACCTTTTCTTACTTAAGAATGGAACTAAAAATACATCATTTTGCAAAATTGATATGCACAACATGGCAGGTTATTGCAAATATGTGAGAAATTTCAAGGGACTGTAACCTGCTCTTCTTCCAATGCAAGAGGAAAAGCTGGTCTCCATGTAGTGCCTTCAGGGCTATCCATCAAAGCAATACCTACAGCAGCCAAATCTTTTCGAATTACATCTGATCTATCATATTCTTTATTTTTACGTGCTGTATCCCTCTCCACGATTTTCTGGTGAACTTGATCGTCAGTCAACTTTGCACGCTTCAAAGCTTTCTCCCTCAATTCATGTAAAGCCTACATAGACCAAAAGCATGGCTAAGCTGTGAGATTCCGTACTATGATATTATCCAAAAGCTACAAAAGGTGGAAACACTTGATTGGCAGGAGGCACAAGTAAAAGGATAGGATGCAGGAAATGTTGATGCAATCTAGAAAATAGCATAAAGCGCATATCTTTGTGATGGACTAAATGCATAACATCTAGCAGCAGAGCCGGAAGCCACCTGATAGTGTACAAGTTCGCAACAATTCCTCAAGGTGAAAAAAGTGTTGCTTGAAACATGAAATTAAGGACCTGTTACAGACACTTCAGTGTATACAGCAACGAAAACAACAATATACCCAACGTAATCCCACAAGGTAGAGTTTGGGGAGGGTAGAGTGTACGCAGACCTTACCTCTACCACAGGCCTCGCTTATTTTCGATAGACCTCCGGCTCAAAAAAAATGTCCAAAACAGTCCAAAAAATGACGTAACAAAAGTACAAGAAATAATAGATGGTAACAGGACAATACTACAAGTCTACAACAACATAATATGAAAGTCAAAGGACAAGACAACAGATAATAACAGAGACTCAAGGACCACAAACTACAGGAACAATACTACAACTACTAGTATGGACGGATAACAAGACACACACTGCTACCTACAAGCCCTCTACCCTAATTTGTGTCCTCCACAGCCTCTTATCTAAGGTCATGTCCTTGGTAAGCTGAAAATGTATCATGTCCTATGTAATCACCTCTCCCCAATACTTCTTCGGTCTACCTCTACCTCTCTTGAATCCTTCCATAGCCATCGTCTCACACCTCTGCACTGGGGCATCCAAACATTTGCTCTTCAAATGCCCGAATCATCATAGTCTTGCTTCCCGCATCTTGTCTTCCACCGAAGCCACTCCTACCTTGACCTAGATGTCCTCATTTCTAATCTTATCTCTCCTAGTATGTCCACACAGTCA